GCGTACACCTTATCATTTTGTTTGTTGTAGCTCTTTTCTACGGTAAAAATTTTTTCATCCAGAAAAAGAATTTCGCGATATTTTTTTCCCACGTACTGCTTCAACAAAGCGCGGCATCTCTTCAGTCTCAAGTTCGATAGACGAGCATTCAAACGATATCCTGTTTTTCTTCGATATGCCCGAAGCTTTAATTCTTCATTTAACACCCTTTTCAACGGTTTTTGCTTACGTTTGGGATTTCTTTGAATTCGTGCCTTCACAGCTTTTATCACTGCTGGAGTCCTAACAGACAGAGGGCGACCACTTCTTGACCTGTCATATTATAGATGTAGGGCCGGTTTAAAACCGATTAAACCAATCCGTTTTTTTTTCGATTTAAAACGGTTGTTGTTGATGACTATGTTTTTCTTGATTATAACTACATTTTCTTGATTTTACCGAGGTGGAGGAGGAATATAACGGAGTACCTATAAACTATAAAGATTTTTTAAATGTGTGATATACTTACTGATATTGATATACTTAGCGAGTTTAGTTCTAGTTGGTACCGCGACCAAGCATAATAGGTATTGGTACCGATTCTGGCGTGATTCTCTAAACTTAAAACTAAATTTAACAACAGTCTTTCCTTTTCATTCTGTATAGAGAATGACAAGGATGCACTGTTGTCAAATTTAAGTTTAGGTTTAGAGAATCATGTCGGAATCGATACCATTACCTACCTAAGTTATAAAAACTCTTATCATAAGTTAAAAACTCTGTGATGGTAAATAAAAAAAACATTGTTTTCAAACGATATAAGGGTCAGGCCGAAAATTTTGCCACATTAGTTATAACATAACTCTCCGCCACATTTAAAAAAAAAGTACGGTAATTACATTTTTTTCAATAACAGAATCATATTTCCTCACAAATGGTGAATCGCGATCAATAAATATATTTAAATATCTTCAAAACCTTAGAAATTTATAAAATATTTTGCTACAAAAAAAGTAGCGAATTTTTCGTAAAATACGCTTATGCGCCCCGGTAGAGGTGCACTTTGAGCATCAGTAAAATCAAAAATAAAAATCTTTTTGATAGTCTGTTTGCTTTTACGCTGTACAATAATAGTTAGCTAGCCACATTTTAAATATCGTTTCCTATTACCTAAAAAATTTCATAAATTTTCACTCATTTTCGAAAAACGTTAAAATCCATTCCTTTGCGCTACTTTTTATTGCGCAACTAATAAATGCCCGTTTGGTTGTGTTTAAAAAATAGCAGTATTCAAGTCTGAGTAATGGCAACACCGAACATACTTTATCTATGGTCAATACGCTGTCAGCGGTCATATTTTTTTCAGTCCAACATCAACATCGTTTGAAAGAAGGAAGTGTCATATTTTATGCGGAGAGTGTTTTTTGATATATCACGGTAAGTTTTTGATTTATATCTATACTTATTATTGCGCACGATTTAATGAAATGTTTGACATCTTTCAAGGCTTAATTAACATTAAAAAATAGCTTATTTATCAAGTTAAAATGGGTATTTGTTTGCGCAACAGTTGCGCAAAAATGACTTTATGCAACTTTGCGAGACCAGGGGCGTGGAATTTGCGCTACTAATTTTCGCTACCAAATAAAGGAGCTTACACACATAGGCTTGCAGGTGTTTTTTTAGCTTTTGTAATATTTGTGTTTTTTTTGTGGATTCGATTTTAGTTCCTGTGAAGGAATTGTATTTCTAGCAATAGAACTCTCCGCTTTTTTGTAACACCTTTTAAGACTTAAAGATAAGAGTAAAAGTTGACGTTTGTCATACTTACCTATTAAAAGTGTGTTTTATTTTGTAGCACTGTCCTTTGTATGCACTCCTTAACAATTTTGCGTCACTCTGCGCTATGGACTCTTAGTAATTTTTGCGACCCCAGCGCTATTTGTGGCAAAATCTACGGCCTGACCCATAAATCAATTCAATCAATTTGATTCGGTTTAAAACCAAACTCACACTCTCGTTGACGTCACTCGTCATTACTCGACGCAAACGTTGCCAGCTCGCCTACCCTACACACACATGCACATAAACTGCAACATAAACATGACGTCCAGGTGACCAAAAATTTACCATAATGAAGTGTAAAAAACGTAGTTCTTTTATTTTTGTATGCCAGTTTTCAACCGTTTAAAACGATTTATTTGGGGTTTAAAACTACAACATTTGGTTTAAAACGTTTTAAATCGGTTGTTTTACATCTATATGTCATATACACTAGTCTTCATTGTATCGTTTGATGGTACGAATACGAATACGACGAGTACGAGTACGAATCTTTTGGTTATATTCAAAATTTTCAGTAAGTATGTCAAAAAATTTGATTGGCGCGTAACCGCAACGATGCAACGCAATAACTGCAACACGGTCGTCTATAAAAGTCCACTCTTTATTTAAAAATAAGTAAAATTCTAAAAAGTATACATTTTTATTTTCATGAACAATTCGAAAACTTCACCTTCTCTTAACATCAGGTGGAGTGGAGTCATTTGTCGAACCTATCTATAAAAAAAAATCGAATTCAATAATTTTTTTTGTGACCAGCATTCTAAAAGAAAAGTTTTTATTGTGTGACAATACTAATGACCTGACTGTGTACATATAGCATTGATAACGAAAAAATTTAATTTTCTATGAGAACTATTATGGGTACGCCAGGTTGACGCCAGATCCTCCTTTAAGAGTATTGATTATGAAATTTTGTAAAGCCAGGGCACTATTTTCGAACTATTTTTGTGTGTCAATTTCGTAGTTTAAATGTATGCCGCTCTTGGGGACGGCCACGGGTACGCTAGCTTGACGTCATGCTAGCATACACAGAAAAATGGTCTTTATTTTTTGAATTAAAGGGGCACTATTTTTTTTATTTTCACACTAATTTGGTACTATTTTCGCAGTATTTAATGGCATAACGAAAAACCGTATATTGATCGTGTGTCCGCTAGCATCACGGACACCCTAATTTGTATGTTTGTGTTTGATATTTTTTTCTCATTGAACATTATTTAAAAAAATATTCCTTTTAATATACAGTTGAAACCAGATATAAGTTATATATATTGAGTATGGTTATAGATATTGAATCTATGCTTGTTTTCGAATAAAATATCAAAAAATATACACAAGTAGTCATATGTATGTACAGTGTTGCCAGGTCTCCAGATTTTACAGGAGATCGTGTCCGTTACGCTAGCGTACCCACGATCAATATACGGTTTTTCGTTATGCCATTAAATAGTGCGTAAATAGTGCCAAATTAGTGAAAAAATAATAAAAATAGTGCCTCTTTAATTTAAGAAATAAATACCATTTTTACTGTGTACGCTACCATGACGTCAAGCTAGCGTACCCATGGCCGACCCCAAGAACGGCATATATTTAAGCAACGAAATTGACACACAAAAATAGTTAGCAAATAGTGCCCTGGCTTTACAAAATTTCATAATCAATACTCTTAAAGGACCAAAGATATTGAACTAAACATTCTTAGCTGGCGTCAACCTGGCGTACCCATAATAGTTCACATAGAAAATGAACTTTTCTCGTTATCAATTCTATATGTATAAATAGTGTGTCAAATAGTGCCTCTAACAGTAAAAGTATTTTAATGTTAATTCGCAGTAAAACAATATAAAAAAAGCAATTAAATTATTTTTATATATGAAGTACAATCATGTACAGAAGTGATAATATTTTCGTAGTATAGTAGGTAAGTAAGGTACTTAGTAGGTAGGTAGGTAGGTTGAAATTCTTATATGAATTTATGATTGGTGTATTCGAATTGAAATATAATATCTTTTTATAAAAAGTACCTATTTATTTTAGTAAAAATACATATATAGATAATCTCTTAGTGCATAAATTAATTTTGTGTGTAACTGTACTACAATACATTTGTTCCTAGAATTTAACACCCTCTTTATGTATTGTTGTGATGCGGATTCACATAAAATACTTTTACTGTTAGAGGCACTATTTGACACACTATTTATACATATAGAATTGATAACGAAAAAAGTTCATTTTCTATGAGAACTTTTATGGGTACGCCAGGTTGACGCCAGCTAAGAATGTTTAGTTCAATATATTTGGTCCTTTAAGAGTATTGATTATGAAATTTTGTAAAGCCAGGGCACTATTTGCGAACTATTTTTGTGTGTCAATTTCGTTGCTTAAATATATGCCGTTCTTGGGGTCGGCCATGGGTACGCTAGCTTGACGTCATGGTAGCGTACACAGTAAAAATGGTATTTATTTCTTAAATTAAAGAGGCACTATTTTTATTATTTTTTCACTAATTTGGCACTATTTACGCACTATTTAATGGCATAACGAAAAACCGTATATTGATCGTGGGTACGCTAGCATCACGGACACCAGGAGATCTCCTGTTTTTCTAAAACTTCTCTTTCTTTATAGGTGGTTTGTTTACTTAAGGGTTTATTTAGGGTTTCAGCTGGGACCTTGCCAATTGGTCGTAATAACGGACACATCATTTTAAACAATGGTGTTACATTGAGTTTTGACTGTATTTATATATTTCTGATTAACACATTGTTTGGATTATCTGCACTATCCATCCTACTTTATGAAACTAAATTTGTATTTTCCAGAAAATATGACATTGAAGCATGGATGCCAGGGCGTAAGACCTATGGCGAAATCTCAAGCTGCAGTAACTGCACAGATTATCAGTCAAGAAGGCTACATATAAAATTTAAAGATGGTTGTTTTAGTAGATATGCACACACTCTAAATGGTACAGCATGTGCAGTGCCAAGAATGTTAATTGCTCTTGTTGAAAACTATCAGGACCCCAAAGGAAAAATATCAATACCCATGGTGCTGCAACCTTTTAATAGAGGAAAAGAGTTTATTGTACGCAATAATCTTCCTGAATTAAAATTGGTAAAATTAAGAAAATAAAAGGCATTTTATCTATTCCTAGTACTTATTGAAAATGATTAATCCACTTTTGTCTTCTTGAGTCCTTTATGATGTTTTGAAAACTTTTTCATTTTTGCTTTAAGTTGCTCAACTTCTACAGTGTTATTAACTGAATAATTCTCGGTAGATTTCTCTTTAGGTGGTATAAAGTCTTTTTGTCTTTGCTCATTTTTCGCCCTTTTAGCTTCAGCTTGTTTTTCATCTTTATCATGTTTGCGTTTAGCTCTCTTTTGCTCATCTTTTAGGAAATATTCTCCTGTAGCAAGTTCTTGGTCAACTTTGCTCTCAGTTTGTGGTGGTGGGAATGGAGTATAAGGTTTCTTTTTAATTTTTTTCTTAAGCTGTTTCCTTGGTACATTTTTACTCTTGAACTTTGGCAAAAATCTATCCCAATTCTCATTTTTAAGTTTAGGGTCCTTCATTAATTCCCTTTTAATCATAAGGCTTTTTATATTATACATTGGGTGTATATTTTTCATAGTATCTTCCACAATCCGTCTTACTTGAACAAGTCCCTTATAAGGACCGATTGCAGAAACAGTATTACCTTGTACGAGCACATAACATTCTGTCAATAATTCTATTGACTTCAATGTGACTCCATTTGGGCCAATTAAGCGTTGACGCCTTTTCAAAAAAGTTTCTTTCTTCCTAACAAAAGAATTTATTTTTATTATGTCGCAACCTATTTCATCTGCTAACACTCTTACTGCCTGTTCAAATGGCACGCTTCTAGATAACAGTTTCATAAGATCTCTAGCTTTGATAATGATATATGGATCCCAAGTTTTTCTAGTTGTTTTGACTGTTAAACTTCCTTCTATTAGATCTAATTCAGATACGATGTGATGTTCTTTCAACACTTTTTGTATAAGCGGCCAACATTCTTTGAGGTATTGTTCTCTGTATTTTGGAAATAAAGTAGCAAATTTACTTTCCTCTAATAAACCATGAGGGTTATCTTCAGGCGTGAATTTTGGAATTTTCAATTTCCACGCATTTTCTACGGGACCAAGCTCAACGTTTTCATTTTGTCGATCTTCACTCTCCATTTTATTTCAATTTAATGCGCAAAAACAATCTAATTTTACAGTTTCAAATAGAATACGGCACCACAGACTGCATAAATACAGACTACAGAATGCACATTTTTTTTTAATAAGTTTTACGGCCGTGAATTTCTCCATTTCGGCCATAATGCACATATTATTTTTTTAATAAGTTTTACGGCCGTGAATTTCTCCATTTCGGCCAATATGCGGTTTGTAAACATTTAATAACATTTGGTTTTGTGAAACAAAATAAAATTAAAGTATATTTCTAATATGCTTTCGACAGAATGAGCAAAAAAGTTGCGGTTTATTTAGTGTTTTAAATTTGGTCGTTTATAAAATATAATACAGATTTTCCTGAGCCTTGGCTTTTACTTTTACCTACTCATTATGAAAAGAGATAATTCTATTATTTTATATCTAAGTGATCTAAACTATAATAAAATAATGGATTTAGCTCCTTAGAGTATATAACACTGGAGACGCCATAGCGTTCACTCGCCGAACAAAATTTTTCACCACTTTTGGTGCGGGAGGAGGTACACACGTAGAGCACACTAATGAAAATATGCAATACTCCCACAAACACGAGCGTGTTGTTGCTATAAACGCACACTTCAAAAATTACGTTACACAAACAAAAAAAATGGTTGCCTGTAAAGTCGGTTTTACGGGCGAAGATTTTACGTGACAACGTCTTTTTCTCGGTAGAATATTTATTGATATGAATATAATTAAATTGCACAATAGGAACAAGGAATTGAATGAAAATAAGAATTGCACAAATTTTAACTATAGAAATATATTTTGTTTACTAAAACATTGTACATGTAAACTTAAACTCATCGTAACGTTACCGAGCGTTACACTTTTTCATAAGTGACTCCCAGCCGCAACCTAATTTAAGACGTTGTCACGTCAAAAACGCAAACATGCTAACAATTTTTATGTAAGTATGCAATTGTTCGAGCGTAAACCAACACAAAATTAGGGATGCGACATTAAAATAAATGAAAGATATTTGAATGAACAGTTCTTGATGAATGAACATAATGTTTGTTTATAATGAAAACAAAATGTTTCATTTATACTATGCGATTCAAATAAGAATAGGAAAGCCAATGACCTCCATCTGACAAATGTCGCTTGAAAAGTACGGCTCGCAAAAAAATGTTGGAAACCTTTTTTTAGCACTCGGTTAATTCTAGAATAAAAACCAAACATTAGTAAACAAATATTGATACTTAATGGTTGTTTTTTTTTCATTTATTGAGCTTTGGCTATAAATGGTGGATAACCTAAATCGTCAACCAAATGTCACCTTAAGTTGCGTTCAGAAATTCGATTAAAAACTTTCGTTTACATAAAGGATGCATGTTCGTATGTGATCTAGTAATAGTGCATGATTATTCATAACTACTCCGGCGGTAATGCAGAGATGAACGTAATTGAAGAGCTAGATTCGGATTAATGTTTTTCTCACACAGTTCTAATAAATAAATATTATCAAAAATCGGTTGTTCTGTTTCTTAATCTTGGTAAATAAATTTTATTAAATAAATACTTTTTTTTGCTCACTCTACCTATTTGGTTTGAATTGACAACTATGACGTCACAATATGGCACCCAGTCGGTCCTATTCTTAGTTGAATCGCATTATAAATATCTATCTGAAAGCTTATATATAGTTTAAGTACTAATTATTTTTATGCACCGAATTCAAAGATTATTTTTGCAAATTAAATGGCTGTGCAAAAAATCTTTCCAACTGATTTTGCTGCCTTTTATCGGATGCACTGCCTATATTTAATTGCTCTTACACCCTTAATAATAGCAAACGCAGTATTGTCACAAAACACTGCGTAACTGACCCAAGCTTATCCATTCTTCGGTTAATATAATGGGGATAGCGAATTAATATACTTCAGTGAATTAAAGTTATTTGTTTTACTGATAATGTTTTCCTCAATGGTTTAAGAAATCAATAATTTAAGAAGTCTTGTGTTATTACGAAATTAGCTCACCTAACAACATACTGACCATATCAATATTGAAAATATTGTATGTTTTAAATAAAAAAAAAAGACTGCAATCGCACTCAACAGTTCAATTTCATAAAATATGTGAGATACATTGTGTTTTCATGCGATTGACTTGGTTTTTTTACAAGTTATGTTTTTGATGGCATACGTATTGAGTACAATACATACAGAGCTCGATAGCCCAGGTGGTTAGCGCGATCGGCTTGCGTTCGTGGAGGTCAAGCAACTTCAACAAAGGCCGGTAATTTGATGGGTGGCAAAAAAACTTATTATCTCCTGTCGAAGCCTGTGCTGTGCCCCTTCAGTGGGGATATTAATAGACTAATGCTGATCTTTCAGCCGTTTTTGCACGATTGAGTAAGAAAGATATAAATTTATTAAATATACAGGTAGCACCTAATTTTGTTTTCGAATCGTGGTTGAACCTCAGGGGTTTGAGGTTGCTAACGTTACTAAAGTTAACCTAAACTTTAGGTAACCAACTGTGTTTTTGGTGATCATTGGGTGTTTTTTTTTTGGGATCATATAAATATTTTCCGTTTTTTTAAGGTACGGTACGTAAGGTTTTAAGGTAACCTATTTATAAGTATAGTAAGATAAGTACAAAAATAATTATACGGTTTGCACACCTTTTTATGATAGAAAGTCCTGATATAAAATAAATGATATATTAAACAAATTTGACATAAAAGAATGATATGATAATTGATATGAGTATGCGCGGCTAGAATGAATACCGATGGCAGACTGCTGTGAACGTGACCTAAATTATCGAATGTGGCGTAAAGTTGAAACTAGACAAAAACTGTACGAGTAGGCTCGTACAATAATTATGTAACGTCCACGAGAGCTACTGCCGACAAACTGTTGCACAGTTTGGCAGAATAGAAATAAGTGTTGTAGTTAGTTTCCTACTATGAAAAAATTTAATAACAAAAAATGTATTGAGTATATTATTTGGAAAAAAAAGTCAAGAATGATCTCCTCTGTCACACACTATAAGTCATATGTATAGATTTTAAAATTTTATTCAGTCTGAGTCTGCGTTTCTCTGCTATTTGTGCCAGCACTCGGTGGGGTAGAGTAGAAGTGCTCTTACCTTTGGAGCGGGTGTGAGAGGCTGTATCTAGTGCAGTCTGTAGAGCCAATGTCAACTCCTTTGTTGCTTCGTCGACTTTGTGGGCCGTGGTAATGTTAGTTGTTTGTTATGGCGTCATGGTGTAGTTTGCGGCCTGTCGGGTTTATAACATTGGAATTCCAGGAAGTGTGTTTTGCGTTCAAGTCCCCCGCGATGATAGTTGGTAAAGGGTGGAGGAGTTCGTGGAGTTCTTTTACGTCGAACACAACTGTCGGTGATCTATATGCTGCGTAAATACGCAGTTCGGTGCCGTCTGTATGGATATCGATACCCAGGGCGTACATGGTTGACAGCTGTGTTAATGGAGCCGGTCGATGTACAATGCATCTGTGTATCAGCAGAAGGAGCCCTCTGATGGGGCGCCCGCGCCCCTCCCTAGATCGTAATCTTGTAGGTAAGCAGGGATTTGCCTTAGTCTTGTGGAGCGGCGTACACCAGCGTCGCTCTCATTAGGTTGAGCAGAGTCTTGCTGTTCATCTTCGATTGGCATGTCATTTTCATTTTCAACTTCTGATTCTGAATCTGAACTATCTCTGTTAGTGGGTGGCAATGGTGCCAGATATCTGTTGGATATGGTTCCTTCTCTGCCATCTGAGTATCTTATGTATGAGTAGGTCGGATTAGTTTGCAGCAGCTGTCCTTCTTGTACCAAGGGATCAGATTTTGAGTTCCGAACTGTTCTTTTAATAAGTACCGGGCCAGGAGACACCATCCATCCAGGTAAGGAGACTCCATTAGGACTACGACGTTGGTGGAGAAACATTCTTTCATGGGGTGTGGTATTTGTACTAGTACAAAGTAAAGAACGTATTGAATGTAGAGCGTTAGGTAATACCTTTTCCCAATCAGGGTTTCCAATCCTTGGGAGCGAAGGCTTAGGAGAATAGTTTTCCACAATGTACCGTTCATACGTTCAACTTGTCCGTTCCCTTAAGGATTGTATGGAGTAGTTTTACTGGAGGCTATATCCAAAGAAATCAAAAGTTGCAAAAATTCTTGTGACATAAAGGCTGATCCCCTATCAGAGGCGTGCCAGAAAGGCTAAAAATTTTAATGAAGACACTTTATGACGGCGCTGGAGGTAACATCTTTACAAGGAAACGCAAAAGGAAATCTGCTGTATTCATCGACGACAGTCAATATATATTTATTTGCTGTTTTTGAAGGTAACGGCCCCATAAAATCTATATTTAGTCGTTCGAAAGGAGCTGTAGCCTTGATTAAATTTCCTTTACAGCGTACATATCTGGGTTTAATTTCAGCGCATATGTGACAGTTCTCAGTTATTTCTCTAACATCGTTAATCGAATAAGGAAGATTTTTCGAGCGCACCCAGTGTACCATTCTTGTTATGCCAGGATGGCAGAGCCTTACATGTAGGGCTTTCAAAGAATCAGTATTGTTACTTATTAGCGCACAGACTCTAGACAGTTCATCTGCTGCTTTATTTTCTTTTCCTCCTCTATAAATTATATCGTATTTAAAACAACCCTTTGAGAATATCCTTCTTCATACATTCGAAAGAAGTAATAGACACTCCAGTAAGAGGGAACGTACAAATTTCTAATGGTTTAATTTTGTCAGAAAATTTGGTATCCACCTTGAGTAATGAGCAAAGAGACCTAGTGCCCTTTTTAACTCCGAGGCATTTTCTGGAAGGGGGAGATCCATCAATGGTTTCAAGCGGTCGGGATCAGGTTTGATGACATTATTTTGCACATAGTATCCAAGAAGATTAATAACATTAGTATTAAATTTACATTTTTGCTCATTTGACGTAAGTTTATATTTAGCTGCCGCTTTCATGAAATTCGACAAAT